TAACTGTGATGTTCTGCAAAACAACAAGCTTTAAAACATTTTTTTTCTTACTGGTGAAAATCAGATGGTCAAATCTGTTTTCTCTCAGGTACTTCGCAGTGTAAGCTTCACAGTGAACATTACTACATCACTCTCGTCAATGTAGTCCATATCAACAACTCAAATATATCTTGACTCCATATAGTGGTTATTTTGGGAAAATCCCAGGTATTTTGAGCAGTAGGGTTATAAAAAATATGTGCTAATATAAAATTAAATTAAGTAGCCTATATAAAATTGCTAAATAAATCTATCAGTACTTATTTACTTAAGTACATAAAAAATCTTTTGTACTTCCTAGAAAAAGTTGTTGAAGTATGGTTGTACTTTTGTACTTTCACTCGAGTAAAATTGAAAAAGGAGTACTTTTACTTTTACTGGAGTAATATTTTATTATATGTATCTGTACTTTTACTCAAGTACTTGATTTGTGTACTTCGTCCACCACTGGTCTCCTGACCTGGATTTAGGTGTTTTAAAACCATTTGTGAAGCCCTCTGTAAAAAAACTTGGGTGTTTTAATGGATAATGATTTTAAACTGGATAAACAGATTGATTTGGTAATTAAATCTAGTTTTTCCCAGCTGAGGCAACTTTCTAAGATTAAATCTTTTCTGAGTTTCAAAAATTTTGAAAGAATTATACAAATTTTTATTTCATCCCGTCTTGACTACTGTAATGGACTTTATGTAGGCATTAGTCAGGCCTCCCTCACCAGACTGCAGATGGTTCAGACAGACTTAATACAGCCATATGCTCCATCGAGGGGACTTGGGTCCGCTGACCATTCATTGTTAGTTGTCTCTCGTGTAAGGCTGAAGAGCAGGGGTGACCGTGCGTTTGCAGTGGCGGTCCCTAGACTTTGGAATAATTTGCCTTTACATGTTAGAAAGGCCCAAACACTTACTGTTTTTAAGTCTAGCTTAAAAACCTACTTTTATAGTATGGCGTTTAACACTGTGTGAGAGCTGCTATTTTATTTGACATTATTCTATAATATTTCATAATATTTTTAACTTTATTCTATTTGTCATATTGCCTTATTCATGCTTGTACAGCACTTTGGTAAACACATGTTGTTTAAAAAAAGTGCTTTATAAATAAACTTTGACTTTTGACTGAAGACTTAAAATAAAACTCCAGAAAGGTGTAAAATATATGTGACCTTTAATTTATTTCCTTAATGTTTCTCTTGTGGCCCGAACATAGTGAAAACAATGAGAAGAAACGTATTTCGTGTTGGAACAGGTTGTTTTAGAAAGTCGGTGCTTAAAATAAAGCTACTCTTAAGTTTTATTGATAAAGCGATACTGAAGTGTAACAATTTTATTTAGGCTATAGGCCTATAATTCATTGTAGGCTATAAAAGACCTGTTTTAAAAGACATTTTAAAAACATTTTCAATGAGGAGTAGCCTAAGCTAATAGCCTAATCTTTTATTTTCTTCACAGGCTGTGGAGTCACAGCACGTCAGTTATGCGGTGATGCGCTATGAAATGATTGCGACGCAAATTAATTGTAATATTAATTTAATTATAAAAGTAACCTAATAACAATAGCCAGAAAATAACAGGCTTACATTAATTGGAAATGCCAAATACTCTTAATAATGACAATATCTCTGGCTATCGTAGTTACATGATTATCGTCTTTCAACTCACTCCATCGTCTTATCGCGGGGCCCCCCCCGCAGTGCGTGCCCATCTGCTACGCCACTGTCCATGGCACATGATTTTTTTTTTTTTTTTTTTTTTTATAAACACCCAAGTAATGTTGTCCAGTAACTTGTTTCAATTATTTAAGCATTATTTTATTTATTTGTAAGGCTGTTTTATGTTTGATTTACGTTGAAGTGTTTAATGCCTTTTAATGGTGAGACTTTTTTGGTAATCAGGCTCTCAAAAATGATGTAAAAATGTGGATTTAGATATATCGGCCAACATATCGGTTATCGGCGTTCATATTTAAAGAATTATCGGTTATCGGTATCGGCCAAAATTTTCATATCGGTGCATCTCTACTACAACTAATAACAACAACAACAGAACACATTACATAATTGTTGTTATTAAATGAAATATCTGGACATTTAACACTTATTTAATAACATTACAGATTGATCTGAATAAACAGGGTATGTGCAACTTTGGTGTATAAGACAGCAAGCTGTATTTTGTGCGAATGATATAAATCATAATGTGATTTTGTAGAAATTGTAATCAGGTGCTAAAAAAAAAATAGTACCCATTAAAATGTCTTTACATCAAGGACCCGATCATGGAACAATGCACAGTACAAGAGCAGCGTTGAGCTTCTTGAGTCTGTTCAGTAAGGAGCGTTTTGATTGGTGGATTGGCTGAACGGAACATCCTCCAAAAAAAATATATTTATGACTCTTAACCTGCCAGGAAGGTCTCAAAAATACCGCACACTAATTCAAAGCAGTTCACGCACGTGTGACGATTTGCAAATGCAGATTCAACGATCCATAAATACATGTAACATCATTCATAAATGTGTGATGGAAATTAAATCAAGAACTTGATGTACAGTTTAAGGGGGTCTGAATACTTTCCGTACCCACTGTATACATATTTGGGTAAACATTTTACATTTATTTAGGTAAGATGCATTTATGTGAAAATTTGGGGAAATATTTATGCGTTTACTTGTGTATTTATAAATTGTGTTTTGAATTTATGAATCGGATTTTGTAAATGTAAATTGTGCTGTGCATTTATGAATTGTGTTTTGTAAATGTATTATTTTTGAGGCTGATCTGGCACCATAGTAAAACATTCTACAACCAATTTCTGATCTAAGCTTCAGATTTGGATGTATATTTTGGGATTGTTGCCCTGCAGGGAAAGTCCAGCTGTGTCTTTAGGAACTTTTAAGTGTCTTGTAATCATAGACTTTCTAATGTAATAGAACAATTTCTTCTAAACTGTGATAGATGTAATTAAAAAAAAAAAAATCTAGATCTTCAGAATTTTGTAAATCCTTACAGTCTCTGGGGGATTGAACAATTTTAATTACAACTCTGTGTGTGTGTATTATTTTGTTAGGTGGAGCACCACCCACGGATGATGCAGTACGCTGCGGAGAACTGTGCGCTGCGGGAGGAGATTCGAGCCCTGCGTGCTCTGGATTCTGTCAGATCTGCAGTTGAGACCAAGGCTCAGTCATTAACCGCGCTGGAGAAAACCTTCCTGCAGCTGCTGGAGGCTCAGACAACAGAGGAGAGCACAGGAGGTGAAGAACTCAAGCCTCCATTTTAACAGTTAAATGCTCTTTAGAGTTGGACATTTAGAACTATTTGTTTCTCTTTGCAAACTGGTGGAGACCACTGTTGCATGAATTGATGTAATTCAAAAATTGTCAAAGACCCATTTAGCTTTCCTTCCTTAAAACCCAGATGTGTTGACTGCAAAAAAGCTCTTAATTGTAATTACATATTTGTATCTATTAAATAGGTCTACAATAAAGTCAACACAAAAGTTGCAATGCTATGTTTGTCTTTATCGTAAAATGTGAAGCACAGGCAGGTCACTTAAGCTACTGTTAATGTCTTGATTCATAGCTCCGCCCATCTACTCCACCCCTGTCACTATGGAGACGTTGTCATCAGTTTCCGTGGAGAGGATAAAGGTTCAGCTGCTGCAGAAACAGTCAGAGCTCACAGCGACAATTCAAGCCTTCGAGGAATTCAAGGAGGTCAACAAGTATGTTCATGTCGCATTCATGTAACATAACTAATGCTTGTCGAATTGAGTGTCTTTGGTGGCTGTAAATTAATAACATTATGACCAGAATGTGAAAATTATACTCCTCAGAAAACAGCTGGCTGAGCTGGAATCTGAGAAGCGCTACCTCGAGAAGTCCAACAAACATCTGGAGAAGATCCTAGAGGCCACTAAAGCCCACAGCAAACAGGAAGTGTCTCAACTCAACAAGATTCATGCTGAGACCATAAAGGTAAAGAGCTCAGACTTCACGTCGGTCTGTTTTAAATGATTTCGAAATTAAACCTCCTATAATGACTACTGCTGCTCCTCAGATTTTGACTACACCCACCAAAGGTTATAACCTGCGTAATCGACTGGTGCCGCTGTCTAGCCCAGACCATCTGAATGGACAGGACGAGAATATCCACGTTGATGACATCCAGAGCGAACAGCCGCCTCCTGAGATGAGCGAGCTGGCCTGTGAAGCGCTCACTGAAGAACTCAAACAAATGCAGGTGCTCACAATGCTTTCGTAGTATAAAATAGTATAAAATCATAAAATTATGATAGTTTGAATTAATTACCAAAATGAGTATTTTCTGATGCAGTTCTTCTGAAGCGTAATTTCATGTTGCAAATTACTGTAGATGTTGTTGTGAGGAATCTGTCTGGACTTAAACTTTTTGGTTTGGTTTGGTTTTAGGAACAGGCTCTCCTTGTTCAGGGCCAGTTAGACGAGGAGGAAGCCAAAAACAGGAAGCTGCTTCAACAAATCAGCAAGCTGGAAGAACAGGTTACCATAGCAGCCGAGAAGTCCAGTCGCACAGAGGAGGTGTGTTTGCAGTAGTGTTGGGTGTTTCTGGTGCTCTGGTCCATGCATTGGTTTGACATTGCTCTCTAACTGTAGATGTTCGGTGCTGAGCGACACTCGCTGCTGGAAGAACAGGTGCGTCTGCAGGAGCGAATCAGGATGCTGGAAGATGAAAACAGAGAGATGGATGGTGAGTCTTGAGCTGATGTTGAGTTTCTTGTTAAATAAACTTTTTCATGCTTGTACCTACCCTGACTAAATAATTATGCATTGATGTGGAGCTTGCAGTCCAGTAATGGCGCTTTTCCACTGTGTGGTACGACTCTGCACGGCTCAGTACGGTACGGCACAGCACGGCTCGGCTCGGTTTGCATTTCCACTGCAGTTCAGTACCGCTTTAGAGTGGGCGGGATTATCCACATGTCGTTATAGTTGCGCCGCCTCTTTTGCCGCGTCATCCCGCGTCGCCCCATCAAGCTCTCGCTGGATCCGCTCCTCTGCTATCAACGAGAGCAACGTCTGTACTTCCTCAACAGACAACGAAACCTTCGCTGGCTGTGCTGATTTAAATCTAGCGGTTCTGTTGTGTTCAGCTGATCCAATCCGTGATCAGCTGAGTTTACACGTCACGTTTTGGTAACTGTATGGTTCACTTGGAACCTCAACCGAGGTGGTACTAAAAAAAGTACCAGGTACTGTACCCAGTGGAAAACCCCCCAAAAGTGAACCGTACCGTGCCGTACCATGCAGTGGTAAAGCGCCATAAGTGAGTAATGTGTTGATTTAGTAGCCGATCTGACGAATTCTGTGAGTTGATGGCTGTTTGCTGTGACCTCTCTGCAGTGCTGCGGGTGGAGGTGCGAGATCTGCGTGTCGTGTTGCAGTCCTCTGATAAGGAGCTGGAGGCAGTGCGGACAGAACTGCAGCAGCGGAAAGCAGAGCACGAGAGAGAGACCACAGATCTGTCCAAGAGCCTGATCAGCACACAGCTGCAGCTGGACACTGTCAAGTACATCACACACACTAACACCACTGATGCTCTAATAATAGTACATATACTTGAAGTAGAGGAATTATGGAGTAAATTAACCAAAACAGTTAAAAAGCAAATCAGGACCATCAAGCTTCTTCAAAGCAGCCGGTGTTAGTTTAGTTAAAAATCACATGGGTGTGAGGATTGTGGACGCCTCAATAAGAATGTTTTTAAAACGACAAAACTACAGCCCAGCTACAAAACTAGGCCCACATCAAAACTCATCTGAGTGATCTGTTCACAACTGAGTGCATTATAAAAGTTACAAATGGTTCCTATACAGTTGCTGTTTGAGCCAAGGCGAAAAGGGCATCGTTGTTCATTAGCGTTTTGTTCCAATACCATATTAACAAAACATTTTAATGATGCTAATAATACTAAAAGTATAGGTTATAATAAAGGTTCAACCACTGCATCATAATCAGTCATCGATGAAAATCTTTTTTTTTCTCCCTGTCATTAATGTATGGGCCACAAGACATTGAGTTATTGAGTCAATAAATTATGATTGATATAGCCTACCATTATCAGCATGTGTTGAGGTAGATTCATCTCTCTTCTACGAGACAGTTAATGCAGAGATGCAAGAGATGCCAAAAGCGTGGTCAAGGTTTTTTTTTTTTTTTTGCGCTTTCACTTTTTGTAGTGAAAAATTGACTAAGGTTTGAGCAACTCTTGTGCAAAGTTTGCAGATTGCCTGTGCTTTATCCACGGGCTCACCTTTTAGGTGAAATATTTCTATGGGACTTATCTTTGATCACAAAATGATACACGATTTTCATCACGATTTTGTATCTGTCTGTCTTAGGGTGCAATACAGAATACATTTATATTTATTTCTCTTTGATGCTTAGTATGTCCTGTATGTCGTTCTCAGGCTGGAGTGGAAGCACGTGCTGGAGAAGCAGCGTGATCTTCAGGACATGTATGACACACTGCAGGCTGAGTTTCAGTTCGAGCTGGATCAACACACACAGCAGATGGAGCTGAAGAGCCGAGAGTGCTCAGAAATGCAAACCAAGATTAATGTCAGTATTCATTCACACCCACACTCGCACTGTCACTTGTTCTTAAGTGGGTTTTGGTTTTCACATACTGTGGAAAATCTTTTGTTTGTAGGAGTTGCTGCATACTCTTCAGGAGGAGAAAGAGCAGAATAGCAGTGTGAGATCCCAGCTGACCGCACACAGAGAGAGTGTGTCCAAGTGAGTGAGAGAGACACGCAAACACTTGATAATATCTATAACATCAAATACAGCGAAAATGTGTGTGGATAAGGGACTTGATTTAACTCTAAACAGTGTTGTTGTTGTTTACAGTGGTCCTAAAAGTAATTAGACACTTCAGTCATGCTTAAGTAAAATGCTATTTAATTTAGGTTTAATATTAAAACCAAATATCAAAGCGAGTTAGGCTTAGTTTTTATCTATTTATTTATTTATGTTTATTTTTTAATAGAATAGACAATAGAACAATAGATATACAGTAATGTGAGATGTAAAGTGAAAGTGTTGTCAAATGACTGGCCTTTTAAAAATTGCTTGTAAATCTAATCTTTTTTTAACCTGTATTAGCACAGGTTTTGCATTTCCTTTTGAAACTGATTGATCGTAGGCCTCATTGATCTGTGCTTATGCGCCTCAGTTTTTGAGTGAAAAAAGGCATTCTTTGTGGATAATTCTGGCAATGTTCACTCAAACTGAGGTGCATAAGTTCAGATCAATGAGGCCTACAATTGAGCATTTATAAAAATAAATACAAAATCAGTGCTGATTGACAGAAAACAAGTTGATTGAATCCAGTATTTGGTAATAAAATAGCGTAACAGGAAATTCATAAGCAGTTTTTGTTTGCTGGTCATTTTTGACCAGAACAGATAATAGTGGATTATGTCCATAGCTCAGTGTTCAAATACTTTTTGTAGCAGCTGTACCTGTATGCACTTGTCATTTGCATTAGTAAAAACATATGCACCTATAGACGTGTTGAAGTTGAGTGTGTATTACAGAGAGCTTGTGCAGGCTGTAGAAGAGAATGCCTCACTGAAGAAACACATTACTGAGCTGACAAACAAAAATCAGCAACAGGTATGTGTGTCTGCTCTCAGTTCTTTTGTGATTTGCAATTTGCATGAAAATGTTCTGATGCTGTGTTGCATGACTTCTAGAAGTCGTTTTGGTTCTGATGTATCTGCTGTGTGTGTGTGTGTGTGTGTGTGTGTGCAGAGCGATGAGGTCAGTGCTCTACAGCAGAGTGTGTGTTCATCCAACATGACAATCAACAGCCTCAAGCAGAAGATCGAACAGGACAAAGTGAGAATGCAATGCACTGATCAAGCAGCAGGAAGCTTTCACTCACTGTAAAAACGTCTGTTAGAGGTTAAGAAATAAAGATGATAACATATTACTTTGTAGTTAGGACAACATTTGTTAATGTATCTGCTATCGTTAACTAATAAATGCTATAATTATGAATTAACGTTAACAACATGTCAAAACATATCAGTATGTTTAAATTAACATCAATGTAATATATCACTTATTGCTATAATAGTTCATGTTAACCATAGTGTGTCCAAATAATTAGTTTTAGTGAGGTTTATGCTGTAGTATTACTAATGATTCAAATTCACATAATCACGTCATTCATTCGTTCCAGTACATAATTTTAATGTCAACACATTGCTTGAAATAAGACAACCACTGCAGGCATTTTCAAAGTGTGTTATTGGTAAACCATATGCACAAGCAGCTTATGATTAGTCATTAGGGGGAATTAATATTCTTAAATTTCTTGAAAATAACATGATTCATGCAATTAATTGGTTTCTCAGTATGATCTTATTAGGTTTCTGATGAAATTGATGTTTATCTTGACGTCCATCTAAGAATACTGCCGTTACATTTTATATATATTTCTAATTTCAATCTAAATTTTAATGTTTTTTCTGCTGTGTTACGGCTGGCGTTTCACTGTGTGTGTGTGTGTGTGTGTGTGTAAGCCCTGCAGGCCTGCCGTTATTTTTAATCTATGTCTCTCTTCTTTCTTCTCCTATCTCTTTTTCTCTCTTAAATCTTTCTTTAATGAATCTCCTCTAACAGTCTGCATGTGGTGCTGGAGTTGATGCAGGAGACCAGAGATCTTCGAAGCGAGGTGGCTGAAAGAGATCAGACTGTGTGTTTGCTGCAAGGAGAGATCTCTGACATCAGTGTGAGTATCTCTAGCCGTACACTACATGTGATTGTGATATAACTTATATTTGAACAAGATATCACTAAAAGGGATTGCTGAACTCAGACTTACATGTTTAACAGGGTTTTCAGCTCAGCTCTTTCCGTAATGTAGAGAGAGCACAATGTTGTCAGGTTAAATTAAACATTTTAATAAATAACCAGCAGGCAAATATCGCAGACAGTTATGCTTAATAAATCGAGAGTAGTAGAAATCGTGATCACGATAAAAAATACGGTTTATCGTGCAGCACTGTCTGATCTGAACCAACACTGAACTGACTTGAGTTAAATAATGACAATATTGTCTTTTAGATCAGCTTTACAGCAGAATCTGAACAGTCTCCATTAAGTTTCCATGATTGTTATTTTCCTGTTTATCACTGTGAAGCTGCTTTGACAATCTATATTGTATAAAGTGCTATAGAAGGTGACTTGACTTGACTGTGCTCTCATAGTGCTTTAGGAAGTTTGTATTGATTTCGTGAGTGTTGTACCCACAGGGGAAGTATAGCACTGTGTGCACTGAGAAAGAGCAGATGAAGGAGAGCATGACACACATGCAGAATGAACTACAGGAGCTGCGAGAAGCTTCAGAGAGACGCCTTGCTTCTGACCGTGTAGAGGTATGTGTGTAACTGGGTTTGAGTTTTGAGGTTTTGTCAAAAGCCTAAACTAAAGTGTGTGTGTGCGTCACAGTTGGAACTGCTACAGGAAGATCTGTCCTACGCTACAGATGAGGTGGAGAGACTCAGTAAAGTGGTGGAGGAGCAGGCAGCTTTGCTGGAGAGTTCCCGGACCCTGAACACCGAGAAAGAGCACAGTATAAACTCCCTGAAAGAACAGGTACTGCTCATCCTGCCTCAATTCATGCTACAGTTTTTAAATCAAATATGAGATAATGTAGAGTCCGTCGGTCAGTCATTGTCAACGTCTCTCTGGACTGCTTGATTCTGATTGATCAGTCGTGACGCTCTGCAGCCTGCAAAAATAGATTTGTATGATAAGTTCTCAACCGGTTGGTTGCAAACCAAAAATGTGTGTCAGTGTTGTTTCGATGTTTTGTATACTGCAAGCAAACAGCAACGTGGAATGCAATAATAAAATGCAAAATATAATCATTTTATAGTTAGAATAATAGTATTTGTCAACTTTTAAAAGGGAGGAGAAAATGCTTCCCATATCTTTTAGACATCAAAGGTCTAATCAGACTCTACAGTATTTGGCTGCCGTGCAAATTCATGTCACTTAAGGCTGGACACTGAACAGATTTTAAAATGATAGGCATCATACTCTAAAGTCTGGTAGTGTGTGATCCTCAGTAGTTCCGATTACAAACTCAAGCAGAAACGTGCGGCTTGTTTCTAGGAGACGCGTGACAAGTGAAAACAATGTGGGTGCGTCTCAATCAGCTCCCGAGCTCGTGAATCAGTATATCGTGTGCACGAATCTGGTCACTTGTAAGTTCCCTGACTCATTGCGACAGTGATTACACAATTCCCGGCGACATGACTAGTACAACGTCAATGGACATCATTGCAGGAATTAATCAACTACAGGCAGGACCACTCTCTTTCTGATATTATTTGTATTCTCTTTAAACGCATTGTGCTGTTACATGTCCTTACAACATTTCAGTTGAATATTAATTATAAATGTTAACCAGATGTGTTCATTACCTGTCTAGCGATGTGTGTTTATGCTGAAATATACTAAAAAAAGTGTATTTTCAAATCTTCTATTGCATGTCATTGTATTTTTATCGAGTTGGCTCGTGTGGTTTTTGTTTAACTTCAGAAATGTGACGTAATTTCCGGTAAGGGAGCAAAGTAAGCATCGATGCTCCCTAGCTTTTATGTTGCATTGTGGGATTTTTCAGGGAGCGAACGCTCCAGTGCACTGGAAGGATTTCACGATTGAGACAGCCCTTAAAATAGCCGACTCCCTGATCAGTGCCCTGACTACTAAACTAGGGAGCTGATTGAGACGCACCCTATTGTGTTATAGAATCGGTTCAAAATATCAAACATGTTTGATCTCCTCCGATTGGTTGGATTCATAGTCTGAAGCTAAAAAAATCTGTGACCATCAGAGGTGTGTTGCCCCTGTCGGCGTCAACGGCCAACGTGTTTGTCTGCGGTGTGAATTGGCCTATACACTGCATGATCTGCAGACTGGCTCTGACTGGCCAAAAAATCTGGGCAAAATTTATTTAGTGTATTATTAGTGTAACTAGAACGATTTTTGTGTGTGCACAGGTGGAACAGCTGAGTGATCAGATTAACCTTCTGAGAGTGAGAGAATCTGTCAGTCAACCTCCAGATGCTGCCACTCCCAAAGGAAAAATACAGGTGTGTATGTCTGCTGAGCCATATTTGTGGGGCAAACTGTGAGCTGAACCTGAGAAAATCTCACAAAACCAACTCTTGGGGATGTCATGAAAGTAAATAAAGTTTGTTGTTGTTTTTTAAATGGTAAAAATACAGAAAGTTATCTCTTATGCTGTGGTTTATTGTAAAGTTAAGTTAACGTGGTAACCTGTTTTCTTTTATTGGAATACGGTCATAAATGGCTTGGGCATAAACCGGTCGACCCAGGTCGTTTTTTGCCTCTTTCCCCGATTTCGCACGGGATTTAAACGCATTAACCCGCTTTCTGTCGGCTTATTGAAGTGTGCATGTGTGAAACGTGACAGGAATGCATCGTTAGTGCAGATTTAAGCACATCCGACAGAGTGAGTTTACATGGTTTACTTGTGTTGTCAGGTTACTGATGTGCATGTAAACGGGGAAAACTGGTTATTTTAATAAGCTGATATTTGTGAGTTATCAACTTATTGGTGTGCATGTAAACGTGCTCATTGTCTGCTTTCAGACGCCGCACACCCCCTGTGGCTTTGGCTCGAGTCTGTCTCAGGTGCTGGAGTGTCAGGAGAGAGAGCTGGAGAGCCGACGCTCCTCTATGATCACCATGGAGGTCCTGCTGAAAGAGCTCAATGCAGAACGCACAGCTAAGAACCAAGAGATCGACAGATTGAAGGTTATGCTTATGCACACGCAGTTCCCACTACAGCAAACATACAGCGGGAATCTTACAGCTTATTAAATAATCAAGTCAATAAATGTAATAAATCCATTCGTTTGTTGTTATATACTTATGTACTCATGTTGTGTAAATTGTCAATTTTAATTGCTGTGCACCCAAAATATTATACTTTTGAGTTTTGTTTTTTATAAAACGTTTAACGCGTTTTATAACACGTTTGCCTATGCATCTATAGGCCCAGCTGAATGAAAAAGAGATTGTGCGAATGGAGATTCAAACGCTGTTGGACAAGTTTTATGCCGTCCAGAATCAGCGCAATCAGAGCGGTTGTGCGCAAGAGTAAGAACAATTCACTCACACACTTGTTCATACATGAGTTTTCGGTCCCTGCAATTAAACCGTTTATTTGTCTTTATAGAGATGTGAGGGAGGCCACACACATTTCTGTTTTGAGAGAACTAGAAGAAGAGAAGAAAATAAAAGTATGTCAAGGCAAGACCTAAACAATCTCTATATACGAATTAGTTTACATCACCTCTGAAGTAAAAAAAAAAATAATTGCATAAAAATATATGGTAATTGCCCTTTTGAACCAAACATTTCTATGTGAGGCCCTGTTAAGTTTAATCTTTTTTCTTGTTTGTTTTTTTGCACAGAACTCCCTGATGATGCAGTTGTCTGAATCTCAGACAGCGTAAGTGAGCTGATATTTGTTGAAATCATATTGTTTAGATTATCTGAAGCTGAATTAAACATTTTTTTAGAAGTTTTATTTGTGGTTGAAACCCAATATTCCTTTTGGGCCTATTTACACTTGGCCACTTCATGCATTTTCTTTGATCGGATAGCTATCCAATCGCAAAAAGACCAGGTGTAAATGGCCTCTGAAACGCATTCAAGACTGATTGCACTTGGAGGTGGTTTGAGACGCATTCCAGATGCAACTGGACAAGGTAAAAGTGTCTGGTTGAAACCACATACGTAAATTTTACTCCTACCAGAACAACACAAAAGAAAAAGCAGGTGCAAGCGCATGTTATAACTGCCGGCTCCTGATAGCAGATACCACAGCATTACTGCAACATGCATGTGCAGAGATATGGCCTGTCAGAGACGAGCATCTCTCTTCAGCAAGCATGTGCAAATGAAACTCTCTTCGCCTGTTTAACACAGTCATCTTCATTAAAAGTGTTGAACGCTCAATTCTTTTAGCAGTGCCGATGACGCTCTCAATCTTCGATTGCAGCGCATATCTGTGGCTTTCAGTGACGTGAATCTGCTGAATTTGCAAATAGTGCAGCAGTTTAAGATCAAATTTATATTGGCTTCGCAGAGACTCATTTATGTGGCCAAGTGTAAATGTAACAGTTTTAACTAATCGAAAAGCTCTCTGATGGAGTGACAAGTGTGAATAGGTTCTTTCTTACTGTCCGCTGCTGTTTGGTCTGTTTTCTCCTGCTTGTTTCTTGGAAAAACTGGTTTTGCCCGTCCTTAACCCTGCAGGTCTACACAGTTTGCACTGGAAGCACTTTCTGTTGTAGAGCAGACTGTTTTGTAATACTGCAAAGTGTCTCCAACCACTATTTTCTGCCACCCAAAAGCAATAAGTTTTTATTCCATTATTCCAACAGTTTTTCCATTCCATATTGTGCGTTAAATGTATGAATTGCCATGAAACTCCTGTGACACACTAATCTTCTTACACCCCGTGTGTGTGTGTGTGTGTGTGTGTGTGTGTGTGTGTGTTACAGGCTGCAGCATAATGAAGGCACTCTTGTCCAGTCTCAGACGTGTGTGCAGGAACTGACCACTGAACTTAGGAATCGCTGCCTGGAGCTGCGGGAGCTGCGGCAGAAAGACCATCAGCAGGAAAAACTGCAGCAGGTCAGAGAGAAAGCAATGGCTGCATTTATACTGTAGGTCTAGATGCCCAAATCAGATTTTTTGACTAATCTGATTTTACAGCTTACACCTTCTTTTAAAAGTGACCTGTATCCGATATCTGCATTTACACTACATGGGCTTAACTTGAAAAACGCTTAACATGACTCAATGCATTAGACAGTGATATTAAAAGACCAAACTCTGTGCACACACATAGAAACATTAATGCGATAGTTTACATCAAAATCATTAATTAGTACCGATTCTTCATCCGTGGGTACTAATGGTCTAGCAGTAGAACTTGTGCAAAGCACGTTAGCAGGGTTCTGGGTTTTAATCCGCCCTCGTATAGTTTTTCCTCATTAAAACCAATTGTGTTCTCCAGTGATCGTAAGAGCAGGGACATGTTTGTGTGTGTATTATTTTGTGATTTCGCCTGAACGAATAGAGTCTCCACAACAGCTAGCAATAGATTGAAGCACTCGTCTGTGCACAAGCCGCCGTCTTTAATACTCTGCTAGAGAACTAGAGATGTTTCATTTGAAATAGATATACATCTGTACTGCGAAGCATTTCAAAAACATTTGACATCCAACTCGCATTAACAGGGGAATATCCGAGAATGAGCCTGAAACCGATCTGAGAATATCAGAATGTGTTTTTTCCCTGCTTACACGTTCATGGGCCATATTCGATCTGTGCCACGTGGGAGGACAAAATCACTATTGGGTCACTTGAACCATGCAATGTAAATGCGGCCAATGGTTCAACAATAGGGGACTGCCTGATGGCCTGGGATCAGCGTAAAATATGCTATAAGGATTTGAGGGAATTGTCACACGTGCAAATGATAAACTATCATGATGATGCAGCCCAGTCAGGCCAATTTAAACATTTAAGCGATTTTCAACCATTCAAGTGCAAGAAGACGCTAAAGAATTCAATTCAGTTCTCTCATGCTTTCTGAAGTTTCAAAATCAATGTTCTAAAGCAGCGGTTCTTAATACTGTTCCTTGCGTCCCCCTGCTCTGCACACGCTCTGCATCTCTCTCTCTCTCTCTCTCTCTCTCATTCAGCTCAGCCCCAATTATACACTTATTTTCACATAGCTATGAGAAGCGTTAAACATGGCGCGTGCGTGCAGTTGCCGTACTGTATTAAAGCTTTAATCAGGATAAAACTGTATATTAAAAGCTAACATAAGCAGTAGCATTTACAACAGTGTATCTAAAAGTATGAGACAACAACAAGCAAAAAACATAGGCCTACCATTAAAAGCGTGCTTGCACAGGTTCTGCACGATCCTCTTCAGTAATATCCTCTGCTTCTCTATCGGGCTCAAACTGATAAGCGATATTAATGACGACGTTGTTTACAATACAACCGGAGCACATGCCGCTGAGGTGAGGGGCGGGACGTCTAGACACGCACTAGAGGCGGTTTAGCCAATCACAACACACTGGGCTAGCTAACCAATCAGAGCCCATCGCCTATTTCTGAGGACGGGGCTTCATAAAAGAAGGAAATGATCAGCGTGTTTATCAGAGAAGGGACAGAGCGGTTGTGGAATAAAGGTAAATTATGTGAAAAATAATGCGTTTTTTAAAAAAACGAAGCATTAACACGTTAGACTGCACCCCATAAACACAATCAAGCCTAGAAAAAACCCAGTGAACCACCCCTTTAATAAACATGCAACTGTCTGTGTCATAATCGAACAACAAAACACAAACAGAAAATCTCTTCTTTTGACTGAATAACATTTGTAGCTTTAATGAGAATTTAATTAATATAGTGTAGACCAGTGGGTTTCAAACCCTGGGTCGTGACCCTTGGGTGGATCGCCAGGATGATTTAAGGAAAAAGTATATATGTATGTAACAAAGTTCAATCCCCAGGGACGAAGGAAGGAAGCGGGAACCGGCAAACATAACTTTAATATCAAATTAAACATAAACAGCCAAATGAAAGTAAGCGGCAGCCACCTCACAGCAAGCTTCAATGCATATTTGTGTTTGAGCTCTAGAGCGCATCAAAAGGTTTCTATTTAAAACATGTTTTTGCAGCGTTGAACATTTCAGCCAATCACAGATTTATCTGTCGATTTCAGGAAAGCAATGGCTAATCAGAGGTGTTTCAGAATCCACTCACCGTGCTCTCTCTCTCTCTCTCTCTCTCTCTCGCTCTCTCGCTCTCTCTCTCTCTCTCGCTCTCTCGCTCTCTCTCTCTCTCTCGCTCTCTCGCTCTCTCTCTCTCTCTCGCTCTCTCGCTCTCTCTCTCTCTCTCGCTCTCTCGCTCTCTCTCTCTCTCTCGCTCTCTCGCTCTCTCTCTCTCTCTCGCTCTCTCGCTCTCTCTCTCTCTCTCGCTCTCTCGCTCTCTCTCTCTCTCTCGCTCTCTCTCTCTCTCTGTGTGTGTGTGTGTGTACCTACTTAACCATATTTGGGGGAATTTGTACCCAAAAGTGAGCAAAACCTGACAAAATCGCCGAAAACCTCCATTTGGGGACGTCCTCATTTGTAAAACAACATTTTTTTGAAATTGTAAAAATGTAGAAAGTTTCTGTGAGTGGTAGGGGTGGGTTTAGGTTAAAAAGTGTATAACTATCTGTATATAAAAACAATAGAAGTCTATGTAATGTAAAGTACTTAACACTGAGACCTGATGATTGTAAAGGGGACTGGACTGATTTGGTTGGACATTACAACCTAAAATTCTCCGTATTTCATGTTCCTTTGTCATCTTTTTCTCAGCCCACATTGTTCCAAACCTGTATGACTAAATGCTTTAAGGGTTCAACAGAAGACAGTCAGATTTGTATCAATATGTAGCGCAAAGTGTTTATAAGATGTGGTGTGAAACTTCTTGTACAATAGTTTTGTGATCATTTAAGTTAAAATCTTCTGTAGCTCTCAATTCTCAACAGTGAGGGAACTTAAAGGGAGCAGTGCCTTTAAGCGCATGTAAATGTAAACTTTAAATGTACTTTATTTGAACCCTAGTAGTGTCTTGCAGGAAATCGAGGTTCTGAGAAAGCAGGTGGACCATCTGACCGAGGAGAATGGGAAACTGTTGGGTCATCAGAACCCCAAGCAGAAGATTGAGTACCTGGTCAAACTGAAAAAGGAGATCACCAGACTACAAGAGGTCAGAATGAACATGCAGAGAAGATCGTACATGTTTAAGTAGGAAAAACCATAGCACTTAAATTGGCAGCTGTAGTCCCACTATAGAGTTGAAAGGCCAAATGTCTTTTTCATAGAGGCATAGTAACTCTAAATATGATCACATTTTATTGTTTCGCAAGGTTTGTTTTTTTATGATTAAGGTATGTAAGGATCCTGAGGCGGTATATTTAATCATTCATTGATATGCTCCAAGGTTTGGGCTCTGACAAACAAGCATCAGAGCCATATTACAGAGTTTGGAATAGTTTCAGTCTACATGACTCTAGCATCAGCATGACACTGCCATCGATCTCATTTCAGAGTAGCAGGGCAGAAACTGTTTGTCTCAAAAAAACTAAACGGCTTGTCTCACATTTGCACCTGGATGATCCTCAAGAATTCTGGAACACAGAACTTTTTGGTAGACGTGGTCAAAAACCAAACATTCATTTCATAAGTGGTAGTGTGATGGTTTGAGGATGTTTTGCTGCATCAGGACAAATTCGGACCCTGTGAAATATTTTTTTTTTTTCTTTTTTTTTTTTAAGTATGTTAATCTTAAGGTTTTGTGTAAGCTAGTGTACTCCAAAACATTGTGTTCCACAAAAGAAAGCTTTTAAAGGTTTGTTTTCCCCAAAACGTCTGAGAACCACATTGACTCTCATCATATGGACAAAAAACAAGAGACATTTCAAAATATCTCATGGTCTACAGAAAAAAAGCATACAGGTTGGAAACTATTGATAATAGAATTTCATTGAATTTGGGGTGAAAAATCCCTTTAAGTGTCACAGACTACAGAAAGTGCTTGGTTGCAGTTTTTACTGATAATGGTGGTGTAACTAGTTATTTACTCTTTATTATAAATGTTCCATTTCTTTCCATTAATTCAGCTACAGACTTTTTTTAGCTGATTCAAGTAGAAGTAACTGTTAAAACATCTCTCTTAACATGTTCATGATCCCAAGATGGGGAAGATTTGGCAAACTAATGACTCCGTTTCTGTGTTTTCAGGAAAACGGCAAACTCAGGCAGTGTCTTCATATGGAAGAAAGTCCTAACACGAGCCAATAACATGCTGATCTTGAATATGCTGGACCTAAAAACTAAACGAGATTAAATTCAATCACTTTTTAGGTTTTTAGATGTAATTGTTGGATTTGTCTGTTGATTTAGTTTGATTGTCTTCAATTTTGTTTTTTTGTTTTTTTTTATCCCTTTCTGTTCTAAATGTTAGCTCTTTGTGTACAATTTATTAATTGTAATTATTTTTTTTAAGAAATTATTAAAGCAACTCTTAAAAAAAAAAAAAAAAAAAAAAAAGTGTAACTCATAGACTGTATGGTGTAACTGCTATTTTTGGGGAGAAAAATTTGTTATTTTTTTTATAT